GTTTCTGTTTAGTATGATTTATATGTTAATATAAAATATAGAAAGGCTGAATGTAATGAACTAAATTAGAGTTAATTTTAGAATAAACGTACTTAATTATGAAAGAAATAATATCTGAGTTTTCTTTAACCAGATGTACTTAGTTTCTTTAAAACATGGTCAACTTTTTTAATTGGTTTAAGCTTAACTTTAGAAACATTCAGAATCATCACTGTGCACAAATGTATACTAAAAATAAGTGCTAAGTCACTGTGTAGCATTTTAAAATGTTAAACATTTTTATCTATTTTTTATGTTCAGTGTTTCCTTTCTTCTTTTAACTCCCACAATATCTTCATCTCTGTGACGGTGGAGCACATGCTAAGACCCAACAGAGAGGGAACAATAGGTTTATCTCTCCTCAGCCTTATAACAATTGAGCTTTTTACATTTAAAACAAAAGTATTGAATGTTTAAAGTGTTTTTATTTTCTATCACTACATTCCTTAGTTTAAAAAGTGAAATAGGAAAGGGGATGAGAAGTATACTTGTAATAGACAGGAAAGCAATTGCCCTTCTCAGTCTGTGAAAATGTTCTATTCCTTTCCACATAACATATTCAATAAAACTTCACATTCAACAGTCAAAGTTACAGACCTTTTCGGTTGATTACAATTTCACTTCTTTAGAAAATAAACTTTCCTTTCTCTGTTCATCTCTAGTTTTTCTGCAGAAAGAGTTTTTTTACATCAGATGATGATTAAACCATCTTATCCTCAATATTAAAAATATATATTTACTATTAAATTCATGTATTTTCAAGTTGCTGAGAATTGTTCAACTACTAGAAGAGAATATTTGATCTTTGTTCAGAATGAAGGCTTACTGCAGTGATATTTATGTATGCATTTTCCCCAAAATAATAAATTAATTTGAGTCAAATACTATGCTTTTCATTGGCTAGGGGGAATTTGATTTAGTGACTTGAGCCACCAACCTGGTAAAAAATCTATAGAAACATCTGGTGCTGTGAAATAAAAGACACTAATACAATGAACACTCGTCCCCACTCCCCAGGCCTGTAGTAAACCATATTTATTATTGCTATGTTAAATGATTATATGTCTTGAGTTTTTCTCTATCCCCGCCCCCAGGAAATTTAGTAATGGATGTATACTAACCCATGCAGAATTCACCTGATTTATGACTATGTTCCAAAAGCTGTTGAACATTTAGTAAAAATGCAAAATTTTCTGGGAACCTTTAAAAATATAAATGTGTGTGGTCATAATTTTTGCTATGCCACCCATACACAAAAATTATTTAATGTTTCTCTATTCATATTCTCTGCAGTGTAGGCAGTGTTATACAGCACACAGATAGGCTGTGTTCTTGTTCGTAAGAAAGTTGTCTGTTTGGTTTTTATCTTCGTGTCTGTGTTTAGATTGTCAATACCAGGTAATAGCAGCAAAAATGGAATGGAAAAGAGACAGGTACCTCCTTTGGGATTCCTGCAAATAGTACTATGCATTGATATTGTGTAGATGGTAGTTGTCACCTTTTATATTGTAAGTCTACTTTTGGTAGTGTGTCAGAACAAGACAAAGGTCACATAGCTTAAAGCCTATTATGAGCATTGATGGTAGAAAACAATGTAGCCATAAATGGGCAAATTAACCCCTGCCATGCTTTAATAATCTGCAAGACATCTTAAAATGAGCAAAATGGATCAATGACCTTATTTTTTTCTTTCCCATAAATTTATGAGCTGGTATTCTGTGAGTATTCAGATCAACATTTCAAAATGACTCCTTTTCAAAGTAAATCTTTGTCTCAGTGTACTGCTTACTGAATGTACTTAGGCCCTTCTTTTATGTGAGGACTAGATTGTATAAACCTTATAAAGGAGAGATTACGGAGCTCTCTAGCTTAAACAGGAAAGTGGATCAGTGCTGACACCCTACTAAATGAGTCTGGCAGTGAGGAGTGGGGAGGAAAGGGTTACAAGAATTTCCAGGATTATGAATAGTCTAAGTGAATTAGATAATTAAAAGACTCTTCTTGAGTATTTCCTAGACGTATCTGCAAAATTCTTAGGAATGACTGTCTTAAGCTTAATTGATTAATGTGAAAATTCTTTTTGCCTGAGCCCAAATATCATGTTAGAAAACCAAGGGATCACATTCTATATTTTGAAAAACCCCTTTTGTAAAATGGGACTTTGTTTCCCCTCTCAGAGGATCTTGTCCGACCGAGAAGAAGGGAGACTATGAACGTGGCTACAGGGTGATCTCTTGATCCTTGGACCAAAGTGAGGAAAAAGTCTAACAAATGCATCGTTTTGCAGTAAATTAGATCAGATTTCCGCATCTCCGCACTCAGTCTGTGAGCTGACAGTTCAGTAAAATGTTCCCTTGTAAGGTTCGCCCTCTTAGGAAAAGGGGCAATAATTCATCATTAGGATTTCAGAGTCCAGGTGTAGATGGAAACTGATGGAGCCTCCAGCGAGGCAGGGAGGGTGCGTGGAAGAAGAAAATTTTATCTGAAGCCTAATTCCCTGGTTACAGCAGAGAATAATTAAGATAATATTGCTTCAAGAGTCCTTTAATGATTAAAAATCACATATGCAGAATCCATAAATTGGAGGGCAACAAATTGAAAGGCGGTAACATCAGAGAACTGTTTTGTGCACATTGTGGTGGGAAGTACACTCGTGGCAGCCCGCTGTACGGGCAGCCACCGGAGACCGGGACCAGTCCAAGGACTTTGTTTAGATGCAACAAATCATTTGTCTGTTATTAACCCAGAGCTTGTAATTATGCAGATTGCCATAGATTTTCCTGGGCCTGGAAGTGAGATTGAGGGTTGTTCACAGTATAGCAGGCAGCTCAGGGCTGGCCATGCATTACTGAACTTGCCACATTTATCATGTTGACTGATGGCAGCAGAAGCAGGTCTCAGGTCCCAGTGGTTAATGTAGTGGGTAATTAACTGTCATTTGCCTAGTAATAGGCTGATGATCAATGGTTTGTGTGGAAACAAATTCTAATCAGGTAGCTGATAAATGCTCAGCTAGCGAGAGCAATTGAAATTGGGGGAAACTATGTCCAGAATTTCAAAATGGCATTGTGTGTGTATGTTTATTAGGTATAAGCAAACGGAGTCATCCTTAAACACTGCTTTCTCTCACACTAATCGCATTTTATATCCACAAGTGCATCTATATTCGTGGAATAAAGAACTTTTAAGATTTCCTTATTTCTCAAAAAAAATAAAAAAGAAAGAAAAAGAAGAAACAAATGCTCATGCCAGTGATGTGCCTCCTGAATAGATCACAGGAAGTACACGAAAAGTGAATGTGAAATGTTGGGATGAACGAAGAAATCTGCTGACAAAAGAATAGGATGAAAGCTTTAGTTTGCGATGGTTTCATTTTTAATGATTGCCAGTAGGAGATGCAAGATATTACATTTTCAATGACATTCTTAAAAAAAAAATTATTTCCCAAAATAGGGATTGAGAGCACAAAGGTTATTAGAGTTATATTCCTTAAAATAAGCATACTGAAACGCTTTAAAGATTTTTTTTCCCAGGGAAAAGGAGCATGTGACCATCTTTAATTTCGTCTTCTTGAAGATGAACCTTGCTTACTTTTTATCGAGTGTACAGATGATGAAAAGCATTTATGGTTTCTACCCTCAAGGCGCTTAAGTTCTTCAAGAGACGGTCTAACAAAAACATAAGCTTAAACGTTGATTACGAGTTTGGCCAGACACTTCGAAGCCGTTCTCATAACTCTTTCCAACAATCATCATTAGCCTGCTAAGAGGAAATAGTTCTACACTTGAAAATGAGCATGCATGCCTTAAGCAAAGGAGCATCTCTTCGAGTATATAGAAAGTAATAAGGGAAACTTCAGCACATTTGTGCGTAATCCTTAAATTCAATAAAAGGAAAGACTAAGATTCTTTAAAGTACATTTTTATAACTAAAGTGAGTTTTCTCCCTAGCACCTTTGAATTCATTAGTTTAGAACTGCTTTTAATTTGGTCTTTCCCATGAGAGCCATTATATTTTTCTCCTGTCAGCCTGATGCTGGAGAAAAAAAAAGGAAACTGGCAGATGTGGTGTTTTTCATCTACTTTGCTTCCTAGTTAAAAAGTGCATTAACTACTATGCACAGAATAGGACTTGTAATAACTCTTTACCACCATTAACAATGTTAAAGAGACTTCGTTTAAATATTGCCAGTAAAAATGGATAAAATATTTTATTTTCTCCCATTATGAAACTACGGAGACATTTTATGTTGTACTATATTTTAGGTCATTACAATAACTATTTACTGGAATCTACAGCAAATAGGATTTTTTTAAAAAATACCTTTTCCCCCCCAGACAATTCCAGTGGTTCTTACAGTATATTATGTTTCCACTTCTGATCTAGCTCTGTGTAGTTTATAGCCTCATTTACTTTAATGTGCTACCTGAATAACATAATCATAGCTATAACTATAGTATAGGGCCATAAGGTGCATGCGCCTGTAATGATTTTTGACTACTTAAATGGCTTGTTCATAAATGGCCCTTTAATAATAACGGCAAACCATTTAGTAACTGGGTGACAAAAATAGGGAGTCATTCAAATGGGTTTTTTTTCCCCCAAGTAAGATGTTTAATGTGTGGCATGAAGATGAAAGTTACATTGCTTTTATATTTACTCCATATTCTAACAAGTAGACTTTTGCTATGAATTCACCCCTGTTGACTTCTGTGTGTGTAAGCTTCCCAATGTATTTGTCTTTTCCTTTGCTTCTCAAACAAGATGTGATTTCCATCAGGAAAGGTCAACCGAGTATGTATCACCAAAGAATATTTATGTGTATACCTAGGATAAAACTCACTTGAGTACATCGTACGGCATTGTGTATCAACAGCTTTACAAAGTGTATTAGCATCTTCTCTAGTCACCATCTCCGATTTTCCTGTAAGAGTTTGAAAAAAAAATGTTTATTGTTCTAGGCTCTTCGGAGTGACGGGAAACTGCGCTGCCTGCAGTAAGCTCATCCCTGCCTTTGAGATGGTGATGCGTGCCAAGGACAATGTGTACCACCTGGACTGCTTTGCATGTCAGCTTTGTAATCAGAGGTACTCAGATTTCATTTTGTCTCCTAAAAAACGGTACAGCTCTCTTTTCTGGCTATTTATTTAACAGATGGGAAGTATATCAGTACACTTTATTTAAAGCAATTACTCTCAGCATTTTTATTTTCTGCAAATGTTCATTCAGTGCCAGAAACGAACCACTGAGGAGCAAGGTCTCAAAACTGCATTTCTACGTAAAAGAAACCCATCACATAACAGGACGTGATAGAAAATGAAGTCAATTCTGTAAACTTTTAGTCTTCTTATTATTCATTCTCTTCCTTGTTGTTTTTCTTTAAACGCTAGCCGGTTTGGCTCTGGGGATAGAGCGTTGGCCTGTGGACTGAAGGGCCCCAGGTTCGATTCCGGTCAAGGTTACATACCCGGGTTGAGGGCTCAATCCTCAGTGGGGGACGTGCACGAGGCAGCCGATCAATGATTCTCTCCTGTCATTGAGGTTTCTATCTTTCTCTCCCTCTACCTTCCTCTCTGAAATCAATAAAAAATAAAAAGTACGTTTAAACTATCTTTACTTTTTCATACTACTGTGAGCAAACACATTTGCACTGAGGCAAATAGGGATTTGTGGCAGGTAGTATTTTCTTGATGTTCATATTTATAGTTGCCTTACCTCTTGATTTCTGTTTTATAATATTTTTATTGATTTCAGAGAGAAAAGAAGAGAGAGAGAGAGAAACATCAATGATGAGAGAGAATCATTGATCGGCTGTCTCCTGCAGACCCCACACTGGGGATCTAGCCTGCAATCTAGGCATGTGCCCTAATCAGGAATTGAACTGTGACCTCCTGGTTCATAGGTCAACGCTCAACCACACCGCTGAGACACACCGGCCGGGCTTAATTTCTTATCTTGAATTTTAACCTTGTTTTATATGTACTTTTTAAGTTGCTTCAAGTCTCTTTGTGAACAAGGCCAGAGATAGCTAATAATTAAACAATCAGCATTGGAGAGGCAGCATTGAAGAACAGAGTGTTGCACAGTGTATCTAAAAACCTAAATTCTGGTCTGGACTTTGCCCCTAATAATATGTCTGACCATAAACCAATATTAGCTCTCAGAACCTCAGTTTTCTCACTAATAACACAGGGAGCTGGATTAGTCCATTGCAGAGAATTCTTTCATCTGAAAGGCTTATGACTTCATCCCGTTTTTCTTTATTGAAAGTTATAACTTTTATTTCCACTGGGAACTATATACTACTGGTACCTATTTTATGTGACAAATGCAGAGGATATTAGAATATTAAAATGCACACATCATTAACAATGTATTTCAAAAATTAGTACACTTGGTGGTTTTAATGGAAATAAATCCCGTGCAAGTGTGAAAACACCTGGACATAGTATATAATCAGAAAATATTAGTTGTGGCCAGTTTTTAGTTATTGCCATTTTCTGTTTTACTGTTCGATGCAGCACTTTCTTATGAGGCCCTATAGAGCAGTAGAAAGAATACGATGTTAGAGTGAGAACTGGATTCAAATTCCAGCCCCAAAATGAATCAGCTTGTGACCTTGGGAATGCTACTTAACCTCTCTGATTTTGTTTTCACACCCTTAAAATAAAGACAGTAATGCTTGTCTTACAGATTTTGAAAATAAAGTCAAATAATTTATATAAATACTGGGAATAGGTTCTTAGAAATTGGAATTTGAAATTAGAAATTAGGAAAGAAAACAATAGGTTCTCAAAAAAACTAGTTCTTTTACCTTGAGATTTATAACTTATTTTTACCAAATAATATTTCACTAACTTGGTTTTTACACAAGATATATAGCTCAAGCCCGCTGGCATGGCTTAGTGGTTGAGTGTCAACCTAGGAACTAGGAGGTCACAGTTCGATTCCTGCTCAGGACACAGGCCTGTGTTAGGGGCTCCATCGCTAGTGTAGGGCGTACAGGAGGCAGCCAACCAATAATTCTCTCTCATCATTGATGTTTCTCTCCCTCCCTCTCCCTTCCTCTGTGAAATCAATAAAATACATTTTAAAAAGATGTATAGGTCAATAATATCTCTTGCTAAATAGATATTCAGAATGTGACTTAGTATACATACCTTGACGTATATAATTTGCCCAGGAAATAATTGAAGAAGTCATCTCACAACATCTTGAGTCTTCCCAACAAATGCCTGGAATCAACATAGTTTAATTCAGTCTACAGTGACATTTAACCAAAGATAAATTGTCAAATGCACATGTTGTTTATTGTATGTAAGGATATGAATAAAGAAACACAAATATCCACACATCAATACAGACAGTAAAAAGGTAGACACATTTATATGCATGTGTACATGTGTGCATACATGTACACATACATGTATTAGTAGTAAATTTAAAATACTTCTGTTCACTTGTTACATTGATCCACTGATACAACCCACTAATAATACAGTTATTGTCATGCAATAATAACATTTACTGCTTTTCTACTTATAAATGGTTATATATTCATAGTAGAAAACTTAGAGAATACAAAGGGATAAAGAATAACATCATCTCATAGCTCACTATTCTCTCACTATTTTAAGGGAAAATATTTTAATATTTTGGTGTGTAGCCAGCTGTATAATTTTTATACATATATGACAAGTGATATATAGCATATACTTTATATTATAGGCACATTTGAGCAGATTAAAGAAAAGTAACAGCAAATAATCCTAATATTTAATATTTGGCCTTTTTATGTATTATGGTGTGCCTTTGTACCTGTCTTTAAAATTTTTTTTTAAGCCCTGGCTGGTGTGGCTCACTTGGCTGAGTGAAATCCCATGCACCAAAAGGTCACAGGTTTGATTCCTGGTCAGGGCACATGCCAGGGTTGTGGGCTCCATCGCCAGTAGGGCCATTTTCTCTTCCTCTCTCTCTAAAAACCAATAACATCATATTTTTAAAAATTTTAAAGTTTCTTTTAAGGTATTTTAAATTTTCTTGTGTTCAGTTTTATGGATATAGCTTCATATAATAAATCATCAGATTATAGAAAGATGGCATCTCATTATAATTTTAATTAGCATTCATTTACTTCCTACTGCCACTTTGCTATTTCTTCTTTTAGGGAACTGCCTATTTATGCCCTTTGTCCATTTTTCTATTAGGGCAGGCTCACCTGTTTTATTCGTGTTCTACACAGAAAATTAAAACATCATTCAAGCGCTAAACCCAGGCTAAATTCTATTATGATGCAAAGTAATTGTAGGTTGTTAATGCTATTTACAAATCGTATTTTATTTTATTTCACCATGGAAATACACAGTTGCACTCACAATTAAGTCTGTCTCCTCAGTAAAACTCAGTCAAGTAGGACAAACACTCCTAAATTTTGACTCTAAAACTGTTCACCTTCTTATTGCTGCAAAATACTATTCTAATATCATTATTAAAGCACCTAATATATTTCTGTGTTCGCTTCATTTATTACATGCCACAATGGGACTGCAAAGTTCTGGTTCTGCACAATTAGCACTTAGTTACTGACTTGTCATTTCAGCCCCAACAAGACAAACTTCTTTAATGCAGGAAGTCAGCTCATCTTCATCAGCCAAGCAAAGCAGACAAATTTTGTTACTCTCAATACAGAAGGCTTTCAACACAGGAGACTCTGCTTGTACTTTGACATTTCCTTAGGAAATCCTCTTTAATAAAGCCATATGCCGCGTGGGCCTATACTCTCAGTAGCCGAATCTTTGTCATAGTATTGTACCTTTTCAAGTGAAACCTAAGGCATAAAGGTAATTTATAGGCACTTTCCCTTAAGCAAAACTTATTGACAACTGACATCGTATCAGACATGTTTATGAATTTTATTTAGCAGTCATTCCATCTTAACTTTTAAATCAAAATGTTAATAGCACAATATTTCTGAATGTTTAAAAACTATTAGCAATAATAACCTTTCAGAATTGGTTTCCCTTGTACAGTGTATACCTTCTCTGCCCTTTTAGAAGGCTCTGGCTAAAAACATAGAGTTCTGACTTAAAAATCTAAAAGCTTCTCTATTTTGAAAGGAAATCAGAGGAAGGTTATTTTGGGTATCTTGTGTAATCACTTGAGTCTTGTTTAGAACTGGAAAATTCTGTGTAATAGTTAATCTCTTAAAGGTGAATAATCCTCCCTCCCCTTTAGAAAATACTGTAAAACTAAATGATGGTTTTATAAGAAAAGGAAATGACATGCTTGTTTGTAATGGAATGGACTCAAATGTTACTTGTGTAACATTTCATTTTCTTTTATTAAAGGATAAAAGCTTTGTGCTTGGCTCTGTAAGAACAGAGGGGAGTACAATTTAGTTTCTCTCTCAAAGGTATTCAGAGCTAGGGGCGAGAGGGGCCATCAGAGACTCACAGGAGAGTGTAATTGACGGGACACAGATCCATCCCAATGGAAGAGAGGACCATGCTGGGAGTCTTAGGGAAACATCACAAGCTGATGTGCCGGGTTTCATGAAAGACCTCCCTAAAACTAGTTGGACCCTAACTGGTTTGGCTCAGTGGATAGAGCGTTGGCCTGCGGACTGAGAGGTCCCGGGTTCGGTTCCGGTCAAGGACATGTACCTTGGTTGCGGGCACATCCCCAGTAGGGGGTGTGCGGGAGGCAGCTGGTCGATGTTTCTCTCTCATTGATGTTTCTGACTCTCTATCCCTCTCTCTTTCTCTCTGTAAAAAAATCAATAAAATGTATTTTTAAAAAAAAGACTAGTTGGGATATAGGAAGTGTGTCTGGTCGGGGGTGGGGGAGATGAGGAAGCCAGGAAGTAGTGAGGAAATGGATTCCCAAACAGATGGAGCAGCATGAAAGGCATGGCGCTGTGAGAGCATCTAATATGTTTGGGAAATGAAAAGTAGCTCAGTGTGCTCAGAGATGAGACCAGGAATGTGGTAGGGATGGTAGTGGGGAATGGAGCGAGGAGCAGGAGATGAAATTGTAAAAGTAGAAAGTCAGTGATTGAACATTGAAATGAGTACAAACTTAAATCACT